GACGACTTATGTGCATTTAAATTGCACTAATTTTCCGCGAAATTTCAAAGTTTCATTTCGCAGCTCCAAAGGCTTATGTTAGCAATGCCAACCTATGATTTCTATATAGAGGAGTTGTTCGTCAAATAGTAAATGAAAAGGCAAGAATTGGAAATCACGTTGTACACCCACAAAAGTTTACGTCTCTTATTTATTGTAGATAGATTTCATTAGTATCGTTTCAAATAAATTAACTTGTTAGATTTGTAGCACAACTAAATCTATATTACGAATAGCTGAGGACTGAAAGTTCTCAAGCTTAAAAGTTGATGGGATATGTGAGCCAGGCATCATCGTTTTTAATGGAAGAATGTGCTATGCAAAATTTGAGGATGTCTAATCTGTGGGTGCATTTATTTTATCACATTTTCACCCAGGCGTAAATATTTATAAGTTATCAAAGTGCAGAAGCTTACAGAATTTATAAAGATTTGTAGGATTTTTTGAAATATATTATGCGCAACTAATGTGATTCGATCCGAAAATTAAAAAAATTCAATTTTGATTACAAAAATGATTTATAAGTAGGAAGAAGAGATGTATCAACAATGGTAAGGAAAGGGGTAGCCTTTATTTCTGATAAATCGTGATAATCCTCAATGGCCTGTTTTTGATGCTAATAGTGTGGAAACATGTGTAAGCTGCTGAACATTACAGTGATAAGGATTTCTAATAAGGAAATAACAGCAACTATAGAAATATGGAGCTGTTTAGTCTAGAGAAAGTAAAGGCATACAGCAACAACCAAACTTGGATTCATTTCTTGCATAGCTTAGTTTGAGTCTACTGAAGTCTTGCACTTTTTACAAGTCGTTGAAGGAATTCCGAAATGCTTCTTGGGACTTTGGGCAACTTTCAATCACCAAGTTGAGCGTGATGATAGACTGCAAAACTGCAAAAAAGGATCAAGTATGTACCAATGGGAAACTCCAAAGAGATGCAACCCACCGACGCTGAACCACACAGCCTCCGCCATCTTTTGAATCTCCTATAACGATAGCATCGTGCCTGTTTTGTAGCAGCATCCCTACTGTTG